GAGAGAGAGAGATGGCTGTGTGTATGTCTCTCTGAGTGTGTGTGTGTGTGTGGCTGTGTGTTTGTGTCTGTGTGTGTGCCTGTGTGTGTGTCTGTGTGTGTGTTACGGCTGTGTGTGTCTGGGGGTGTGTGTGTGTGTACGGCTGTGTGTGTGTGTCTGTCTGGGTGTGTGCTGAAGTGGGAGGCTCGCACACGCCCGGCTCCGCCACCATCTTTCACTGGACGTCGGGCACCCGCCCGTGTAAGGGAGGCTCAGCGTGTTCCTCGGAGCCACGCGGGATGCCCTGCCACGTGGCCTCCCCAGTGTGGTCAGCAGGGCTGTGGCCACCATTTCACACCTTCCTGGTCCTTGTTCCTTCCCGTGTCCTGCCTCTGGGGGGTCCGGTCAGGGCAGCGCCTGAGAGGCAGGGGTCCCTGTCTGGCTGCCCGTCCCCGCCGGTGACACCGGCCCCTCGCTAGAGCCTGGCGCAGAGGACGCGCCCCGATGTCCCGAGGAATGACTGAGGCAATGAACGCGTCCATTTTACGCCCTGTTGCCTTCGAAGACGATCCCCTCCACCACACTTTTCACATTTACGGGTAAAACTTATGTGCAAAGTTCTCTAAACTCTTTCAGTCTCTTTGGGAACTGTCATTTTTTTCCTTTTTGTCTTTTCCTTACTTCGATCAAACTGATTTTTTTCTAAGTCCGGCTTCGGGTTTTACGGAGCAAGTCTACCGCTTAACTTCCTATTTTACTACTTTGCATCTTGCCTTCAGCGACTCCTTCCCGAGGGTGCATCTTGCTGTCCCTCGTTCCAGGCTCAGTGTTTTCTTTTCATCCTCACTGTTTCCCAAAAAGCCTGGAGGTTTCGCTGTGGACTCACGGTGTTTCATTTCTACGCAGCTTGTAACTCGTTTTCTTCCTCTTTAACCAGAAAGTTACCTAGAGAGGTGTTTTCAAGTGTCCAGGGAACCCATTCCGGTGTCGGGGGAGGGAGCACCTAGCAAGCCAGCGCGGGACCCGGGGCACCCCCCTACCCCCCTCACTGTGCGTGCTCCCGAGAAGATGGGGTTTTCTGTTTGTTTCTCCCCTTCTCTCGGTCGTGCACGCACTGGCCCCGAGGGAACCCGGTCCCGGGCACCTGCTTATCTGCTTCCCTCCTGCTCGGTCGCTGGTCACTCTGTGGGGCCTCAGAGGGTTTCACTGTGATGGCGGGGCCGTTCGAGACCCAAGCTTTGCTTTCTGCGTTTTGGGGGCGAGCCAGGGGCTGCGGGTCGGCAAGTGTTGTCTTTTTGGAGGATTATACTGTCAGTCAGTGCAAAACGTCCCTCCTTTGCCCTCTCAAGCCTACTAAGCGAGCATTTGCAGTACACAACTTCTGGTTCGTCTGCCTGGGGACTTAACCCACCCTTGTTGAGAGCTTCCTCTCCTTGTGGTTCCCGATGGTGCCTGTGGACCTCTGAGCCGGAGGCCTCCGTGGAAGCGACGCCCTCCACACTTGTCCATGATCGCTGGTGCCTTTGTGCTTTCCCGTGTCCCGTTTTGCGTTTCCTGCTTACGGAGGGTCTGGCCACCGCCCCTCCAGTCTGTTACCCTATTGATTGGGTTTTCCTTGTCCGAGGCTACAGTCGGGGGTTTGTGCCCTACCTGAGTTCTGCTGGTGCTCCCTTGGAGGACCTGGACGCCGCCTCCCGCTGGGGCATCCAGAGGAGCCGTGGCTGGGGAGCGCCGTTGTACCGTTGGGGAGCACGGACGCAGGGAGCTGGGTCAGAGAGCGATAAGGGACGCGTGGACATCTGCCCAGCCAGTCTTCGCGGTGCTTGGAGCCCGTGCACCTGGGCGGCAGCCGCCCGCACCCTCGTCGGCGAGCTCGTCCTCTCTGCTCCCCTGGAGAAGCCCTTGTGTGCTGGGCTTGAAGGCCTCACGTAAAACCCCCTACACATGTGTGCACACGCACACGTCCCTGCGCACACTCACATGTGTGTGCACACACATGCACTCACATGCAGACACACCGCACCCACACCCACACACTCACGTGTCTGCAAATGTAAAACACACCAAAGTCCCTATGCACACTTACATGCAGGCACACTCGTGTGTGTGCAGATGGAGCACACCCATGTGTCCCTGTGCACACTCATGTGCGCACGCACTCACGTGTCCCTGTGCACGTTTCTGTCTGTGCACACTGTGTGTAAATGCCACATGCCTACGTGTCCTGTGCACATTTCCACGTGTGCACGCTCACGTGTGCAAATGCCACATGCCTATGTGTCCCTGTGCATATTTCCGTGTGTGCACACTCGTGTGCGGAGGCAGCACACATCCACGTGTCCCCTGTGCACTCGCGCGTATGCTCACTCGCGTGTGCAAGTGCCACACGCCCGTGTGTCCCTGTGCACGTTTACATGTACGTGCACGCTCACATGTGTGCACTGTCATGCCGGCCCCACAGCTGTAGTGACGGGATGCCAGGGGCAGGGTCTGCCGACACACCCAGATGAGAGGCACAAAACTGCGCTGGCCAGTGTGGAGCACACAGGGGCTGGTGTGGCCTTTGCAGGGACTGCTGAGCCCCCAGAGGCTCGGCCACGCAGGCAGGACACGCTTCCTGTTGGTGGCTAAGCAGCTGGTGGTCACCGAGGAGCCTCAGTGGAGGGATGGCTCCCAGCTGCCAGCCCGGGGCCCAGGGGCAGACAGAGGACCAGGACGGGACAGGTGCCGGGAAGGTGGGAGCCTCGGCTGTGGAAGGGCCCTGGAGAACAGAGACCCTGGCCCAGAAGGAAGATCAGAGGAAGGTCAATCACAGCAAATGGGAA